ATAAAAAAATCGAGAAAATTATTGGGTTTTTGGGAACGTTCTAGGAAATTCTCCGATTTTCTCAAAAATTCACGAAAATTCAAGCTGATTCTCCGATTTTCTACTAAATTGCACGAGGTTCGCCGATTTCCTAATAAGTTCGGAAGCATTACGGTTTTCTAGATTTTCTAATAAATTCGGAGGAATCCTCCGGTTTTCTAGAGAATTCGACAAAATTCTTCATTTTTCGAGAAAATTCTCCATTTTTCGAGAAAATTCTCCAGTTTATTAAAGAATTTGCGAAAATTCTGCGTTTTTATAAAAAATTGGAGGAAATTATCCAATTTTGTAAAAACTTTGAAAAAATTCTCCGGTTTGTATTTGAAAAATGAATTTTTGATTTTCAATTATCTCTCAATCTACTTTCAACTTTTTTGAGAAATGAAAATATGATTTTTTTGCTTTTGAAAATAGCATTGTTGCTTCTCAATGATTCTGAATTGGAGATGNGGTCTGAAAGGTAAAGATACGAAGTTTGGCGACAATGTCTGTCTGTCCCCCCCCCCGCAACTTTTTGGAAATTAGGTTTTAGAAAATACAACACTAAGAGGGCTAAAAAAATTCAAATAAATTTGAAATTTTGTCAGATTATAGGTCCTAACTGGGACTAACTCTGGGCACAGGATCAGCTCGATCGGTCCAGTAGTTCCTAAGAAAAAGCCATTTCTTTTTTAATCTTTTTTTGCAAATATCTCAAAAACTAATCAGCCGATTTCATTTTTGTTTTTTCAAAATGTTCGTCTCAACTCCCTCTATCTGGATCAATCGAAACCTATATAGCCGTTCCTGCAAAGTTTTTGAGATATGTCCACTTTTCTGTTTTTTTCCAAAAATCGTTGTACGCTCTCTAGCCTCTGCAAAAATAGAGATATCAACTTGAAATTTGGACAGGATCTCCGTCTTATGACAAGGACGGTTGGAATTGAAACTGGGCTGAATCGGCCCAGTGGTTCCGGAGATATTCCATTTTTTATGAAAATCGATTATGTGTAATATCTCGAAAACTAGTGGACCGATTTCACTTTTTTTTTTCAAAATATTCGCCTTGATGTCCCCTATCTAGATCAATCAGAACCTATATGACCGTACCTGCAAAATTTTTGAGATATTTCTACTTTTCTGTTTTTTTCAAAAAATCGTTGTACGCTCTCTAGCCTTCGCAAAAATGGAGATATCAACTTGAAATTTGGACAGGATCTTCATCTTATGACAAGGACGGTTGGGATTGAAACTGGGCTGAATTGTCCCAGTGGTTCCGGAGATATTCCATTTTTTATGAAAATCGATTGTGTGTCATATCTCGACAACTAGTGGACCGATTTCACTTTTTTTTTTTCAAAATATTCGCCTTGATGTCCCCTATCCAGATCAATCAGAACCTATATGGCCGTACCTGCAAAATTTTTGAGATATTTCTACTTTTCTGTTTTTTTCAAAAAATCGTTGTACGCTCTCTAGCCTTCGCAAAAATGGAGATATCAACTTGAAATTTGGACAGGATCTTCATCTTATGACAAGGACGGTTGGGATTGAAACTGGGCTGAATTGTCCCAGTGGTTCCGGAGATATTCCATTTTTTATGAAAATCGATTGTGTGTCATATCTCGACAACTAGTGGACCGATTTCACTTTTTTTTTTTCAAAATATTCGCCTTGATGTCCCCTATCCAGATCAATCAGAATCTATATAGCCTTTCTCGCAAAGTTTTTGAGATATTTCCACTTTTCTGTTTTTTTCCAAAAATCATTGTACGCTCTCTAGCCTTCGCAAAAATGGAGATATCAACTTCAAATTTGGACAGGATCTCCGTCTTATGACAAGGACGGTTGGGATTGAAACTGGGCTGAATCGGCCCAGCAGTTCCGCAGATATTCTATTTTTTATGAAAATCGATTATGTGTAATATCTCGAAAACTAGTGGACCGATTTCCCTTTTTTTTCAAAATATTCGCCTTGTTTGCCTTTTCATAAAAAATTTTGTTCGCACGATAACTTGAAAAAAATTGGAATAGCGAGTTGAAATTTGGTATGGTATTAGCTCTTATAATATTAAAGGTTGGTATTCTGGATGGGCGCAATCGGCCGAGCGATTCTTGAGATATTTAACCTTTTGTGTAATTATGTTTTATCAAATATCTCACAAACTACTCGACGGATTTCAATTTTTTTTCAAAATACTTGTCTCGACGGCCACTATCTAGATCAATCGAAATATATACATGCGTCCATACAAAGTTTTCGAGATATCGTCGTTTTTCTTTTTTTTTTTTTTCATTTTTGTACGCACGACACCGCGACAAAAAATGATGATTGCACGTTGAAATGTAGTAAGACCACGGCTCTCATAGTATTACACGTTCGTCTTTTGAATGGGCGCAATCCATCGAGCGGTTTCGGAAATATTCAAATTTTTATGAAAAACTATTTCTTCAAAAAGTTGAAGAANGACAGAAAATCGCCATGAATACATTCGGAAGCTTACTACCAATGGAATTGGTAGAAGAAAAAATAATGATGATAATAATAGCGTAAAAAGTAACGGTCAAATGTCTTCTGTCAAATAAGCTCGAACCCCTGCTTGTTTTGCTTTTGAAAATAGCATTGTTGCTTCTCAATGATTCTGAATTGGAGATGCAAAATGAAAGTCACTTTTGAGATCGCGTCATGTGACCAAAAAATAACGGTCATGTGACGCACAAATGTTGTAACTACAAATGATCGCCACAAATAATTTCTAAGCAAATTGTTGTCAAACCATCTATATGGATACATAATGACGGTCAAACTCATTTCTAATTTGTGACTGTCATAAATAAAATAGCTTCATCTCTAGATAGATGGAAAATGACCGTAATTTTGATTTCAAAATGCACATTAGGCTAATGCAAAATGAATTCAAAGATGAATTGATAATGAAAAAAAATGAGCTCGCATCTGTATAGATAAAAAATGACTGTTATTTTTTCTTGGCCAATTGTGACGGTCATAGAAGAGTGGGGAAATTGTGACAATTGTGGAAAACGTCTCGTCATATGACCGTCAATGATGGTCACATGACCATCATATTATGGGTCATGTAATGCATTCGCAGCTCTATCTGAAGCTTATTAAAAAAAACCCAATTCTCAACTCTGTCTAAAAGTTGAGTGTAAATTGAAAGACAATTGAAAATCAGAAATTCAGTTTTCAAAATGCAAATCTGAAAATAAATTGAGAGATAATTGAGACTCAAAAATCGCATTGTCAAAAAAAAANCATATGACCGTCAATGATGGTCACATGACCGTAATATTATGGGTCATGTAATGCATTCGCAGCTCTATCTGAATTTTATTTTAAAAAACCCAATTCTCAACTCTGTGGAAAAGTTGAGTGTAAATTGAAAGACAATTGAAAATCAGAAATTCACTTTTCAAAATGCAAATCTGAAAATAAATTGAGAGATAATTGAGACTCAAAAATCCCATTGTCAAAAAAAAAATCCAGTTCTCAACTCTCAGAAAAGCTTGAGATTAGATTGCGAGATTATTCAGAATAATCAATAATCCTATTTTCAACTCTAAAAAAAAGTTGTGAGTAAATTGAGAGATAAATGAGAATCAAAAATTCAACTCTCAACTTTTTTTGCGAATTGAGAGTTAGATTTTTTTGTTTTTGAAAATCGGATTTTTGATTAGAGAATCGGCGAATTTTCTCAAATTTTCTATATTGGAGCTTTTTCCGAAATTTTAACACAAATACGGTGGTTTTCATTTGTTTTGTTTTTGTTTTGTTTTAGACAATTATTATTATTATCATTGTAGTGGTTGTAGGAAGGTGGCATACGGAGTGCTGCTCCATTTCCACGAGTGGGAGTGAGATGCACGAATGCTTAGTACCCGTGGGCCCTCATTGTATTACACTCCTGAGCTATCCACTCGACAATTCTCATTTCCGTACGTAGAGATTTGGGGGTTTCGGTGGCGTCATCTGACAAATTCCAGTGTAACTGAGGGAAACAGTATGGCGACAGCTGATCGCCTCATTTACTTACAAGTCTTTTATGGGAATTAGCGGCGTCTAATTGCTTCGAAACAACTCGCGGAAAATAGTAAAAAATAGTTCACGGGCTGCTAATTGGGTCTCGGGAGTGTGCAGTGTCTGTGAGAATTGGAATTTGTGTTTTTATTTTTGATAATTACCCTCGCCATATTGACAGGGTGTCACGCTAGTGTGACTTCGCTAGGGGGGGATGGTGGTATTTTTTTTGGGTTATTTTCCAAGTAATATTAAAAATATATGAACTCATTTCCCCCCCTCCAGAACCAATTAGCGGCTAGGCGGAATAAATTATCTGATTTTTGAAACAAAAATCAGATTTTTTAGTCAACCGATACAGTCATAATAACATTGCATCTAAAATGCTTTTTTTCGACAATTTTCTGGGGAATTTTCTAGGGACATGTCGGGCAAAAATCCGTCCAACCGGGCCTTAAAGTCTTGATCATCATCGCAGTATACCCTAACCGGATCGAAGCGATGTAAAATAACGATTAAAAAAATACTCTTTACACATGTAGATTGATTATTGTTTGGGGGGGTATGAAATTATGACACAATTACTTGATTAAACGTTATTTTTATTTATTTCAATGGGATTGAAAAATCTTTCGTGACTGGCTTGTAGCCATCTTGAAAGGGTACTAAAGCACCTCTCGCGGCCTCGTCTACATCCCGGCCCCCTTGAAAGGTCATCTTTCAATGGATAGAATGAAAATACAGGTTTGTAGCAATAATGTAAATGTAAAGTGTTTAAACAAAACATCATACTTCAGCAAATAGTAATCTAGCTTCACATGACTCGAATAGTGACTACGTCTACTTGAATTATTTAACTTGATTTTAAACGGAAAAAAAAACTATTTTAAAGAGAATTAAGGTGATACAACTTTGTCTCTTTCATTTAAATGTTCATAAACACTTAATCTTCGCCCACGTCCATTGGTAGGGGGCAGATCTTCTTCACAGCACGTTTGAAGTTCCCAGTTGAGGTGTTGACAGTTGCGACCCTGACTAGACCATCAGCTCCAGGGTGGAGCTCAATAACACGACCCAAAGGCCAGTGAAGAGGTGACACGTTGTCTTCAATGAGCAAAACCAGAGTATTTAGCTCAATAGGTTCACTTGAATCAGTCCATTTCACCCTCTTCTGCAGTTCCTGGAGGTATTCCTTTTGCCAATGAGCCCACACTTGTTGTCGTAATTTCTGACACAACTGCCAACGTGACAGGCGATTCTCTGGCATTTCAAGCAGGTTTCTACTCACAGGTTGTAATAATGACTCACCAATCAAAAAATGTGCTGGAGTGAGAACCTGAAGATCATCAGGGTGGTTGGTCAATGGAGTTAGCGGACGAGAGTTGAGGATCGCCTCTATTTCGGTCAACAGAGTGTAATATTCCTCATACGTCATAACTCGACCTTGAGTGACGGTGTTGAGATGTCTCTTCATGATTTTCACCGCCGCTTCCCACAAACCACCAAAATGTGGCGAGCGAGGAGGAATAAAACTCCAGCTGATGCGTTGCTTGGCAAGACGTTCAACAAGCTCTGTCTCATTGGTGGTGAGAAATTCAAAAATTTCACTTAACGCTCGAGATGTTCCAACGAAGTTGGTCCCATTGTCCGAGTACAACTGCGAGCACACTCCACGGCGCGCTGTAAATCGATTCAAAGCGGCGAGGTAGGCTTCAGTTGTGAGGTCACTCACCAATTCGAGGTGGACAGCCTTTGTGGCGAAACAAACGAATACAGCGATGTAACCCTTGGAGATATGAATGCGACCTCTGCGTCGACTTTCTCTCACCTGTATAGGGCCAGCATAATCAACACCACTAACAGTGAAGGGACGTTGATCTCCTCTTACCCTTTCCTTGGGTAGTTCTCCCATCATGATGCCAGGGATCCTCGGATTGAACCGAAAACACTTGAGGCAGTGTTTCACGACCTTCTGTGCTTCTCTACGCCCACTGAGGGGCCAAAATCGCTGTCGAACGGCATGCAGCAGTTGCTCTGGGGGACAGTGGTGCAGACGTACATGCTCATCACTCATGATGATGTTGGTGATGTGATTTTTAGCTGGTAGTACCATCGGATGTTTCTGATTCTCTGACACACTGGCATATTTCAATCTCCCTCCTACTCGGATCAAACTTTCACAGTCCAGGAAGGGGCTCAACGAACGTAATACACTTTTACGAGGAATTTCACGTTCTTCCTTTAGACAGTGCAACTCGATTGGAAATTCTTGGTGCTGTACCCACTTGATGATTATTTTTTCAGCTTTATTCAGCTCTTCAACATTCAGTGGACTGGGTTCCTTCTGCTCGGTAAACGCAGATAGGAAGCGAAAGCAGTACGCAACAATTCTGCTCGTTTCGCTGAAAGATTCTGATGAACACCTGTGGAGTATTTTTGTCGGTAACATCGATGTCAAAGTGACCTCAGTAATTTTCACTTCAGGCAAATCTGTTGCTGGGTTTTTCATCTCTGTAGGTCTCTTGTTCTCATCTTGGAGATAATGAGGACTATTCCACCAAAGTTTAGACTCCTTCAAGTCCTTGGGGGAGACACCTCTAGATATTAAATCTGCTGGATTCTCATCAGTGGGCACATGCAACCAATTAATGTGCTTAGTCTGTTCCTGAATTTTGGCTACTCTATTCGCCACAAATGTCTTCAGAATGCTGGGTTTAGTTTTAACCCATCCTAGCACGATAGTACTATCACTCCAAAGAGTAACTTGACCAATTTTGTCAATAAACGTAGTCTTCATTGTTTGGTAAAGTTGAGTAAGCAGTAGAGCAGCTTCCAACTCTAGTCTTGGTACTGAAATGACCTTCAATGGTGCTACCTTTGACTTAGCACATAACAGGTGTGATTGTGGATTGCCTTGATGATCCGTACTCACTGCATACAAGCAAGCTCCAAATGCTCGCTCAGAGGCATCACCAAATCCATGAAGATCAAATTTCTCTTCCCGATTGTGCAAATTTACATTTCGTGAAATCTGAATGTCGTTGATTGCTGGTAGGGACATATAGTAGTCGTCCCACAGTGTTTGGATCTCCTCAGGGAGTGACTCATCCCAATCGATCTTATCTGACCATAATTTCTGCATCAGTATTTTTCCACTGACGAGTACTGGGCCTACTAGTTCCAATGGATCAAAAATCTGAGATATTCTAGACAATACCTGACGTTTGGTATTAACAGAGTCTTGTGAAAGCTGAACATGATATTGTAAAATATCCTCAGGTGCGTTCCAGAAGAGTCCCAATGTCTTGAGTGCTTCCTCCTTGTCGATAGTAAATAACTCTTCAGTTTTATTATGCTCTTGGAGACCTCGTAGGATCTGTGGATCATTGGACCTCCACTTTCGAAGTGGAAACTGGCCAAGCATCAAGAGCTTGGATAACTGCTGTTGTAGCTGAATGGCGACCTCAGGGGTACTTGTACCAGTCAAGAGGTCATCCATATAGAAGTCCTCTTCAAGAACTCTGGATGCCAAGGGAAATTCTGCTTTATACAATGCTGCCAGTTCACGCAAGCGTCGCATGCCATGATAAGGTGCGCATGTTGTCCCATAGGTCACAGTATTAAACTGATACACCTGGGCTTCATGATCAGGATCCTTTCTCCACAGGATGAGTTGCAGGTGTCTGTTATCTTGATGGACCAGTATTTGACGAAACATTTTGGAAATATCTGCGGTAATGACGAATTGATGTGTTCTGAATCTCAAAGTAATTTGAAAAATATCTCTCTGCAAGTTAGGTCCTGCCAAGAGTTTATCGTTAAGTGATGTGCCACTTGAAGTCTTCGCTGAAGCGTCAAAGACTACTCGGAGTTTTGTTGTCGAACTTTCTGGCCGTATAACAGCATGGTGTGGAATAAAATATTTTTGTTCTAATGCAAGTGAGTTAGAGTTCTCAGCCAGTGTCATGTGATCACGATCAAGGTAATCCTCCATGAATTCATGATAGGCAGAACGTAATTCAGGGTTTTTCTTAAACTTACGTTCCACAGACTCTAATCTGTTTTGAGCCTGCTGTCTGGAGTGTCCAAGAACGACTTCTGCTCTCGTGGGCAGGCGAACGATGAACCTCCCTGTAGAATCTCGTTGTACTGTTCTTGAGAAGAGCTCCTCACATGCCTTCTCTTCTTCTGTGTAATGGAGAATCTCTGGAATTGTTTCCAGAAACGTTCGAGTTGCTGATGTAATTCGACATTTGTAACCTTGAGGCAGGTGGATGAGGGACTGGATTCTGGTTCTGTCATCTCTCCTCCTAGGATCCACCCAAATTGTGTATTTTGCAAGGCTGGTTGACCTTCGATACGGTTTCGTGGAGTGCCAATTAAAATTTTCCAATCAATGCCAGCTCCGATGAGTAAATCGATTTTTCCAGGCTCATGATACACTGGATCTGCTAAATATGTATCTTTGGGTACAAGGACCTTTTTCACATCGATTTTCGTTTGGAGAATCTGCTCAGTGATTGATGGGATCACCAAACAGTCGATTAATGCCGAGAAGTCGCTATTTGTCGCTTGGATTCGAAATTGAGCTGCCATCCTGGCATTTGTCAGTGCCTGATTTATTCCATTGATCGGTTTGGTTTCTTTGGAAAGGGGTAAATTTAATTTACGGGCCAGTGCTGTTGTCATCAGGTTAGATTGTGATCCAGGGTCCAATAGAGCACGACAAAGGATTTGTTTCCCAGTGCTGTCTCGAATGAGCACCTGTGCAGTGGAGAGAATGATTCGTGACTTCGGTTTTTGGACACAATACATGACTATTGGAGTGTCTGGGTTTGAAAACTCATTGCAATAATTTACACTTGAGGATGGCTGTGTGTGTTGCTTGTCGTCTCGATGAAGAAGTGTGTTGTGATGTTCATCACACACTTTGCATGTTTTGCCCCTGCAGTTGTCTGCAAAGTGTCCAGGAGTTAGACAATTAAGGCAAAGATTTTTTTTGATGATCTCTTTACGCCTATCGTCGACTGAGAGCTTCAGTAACTCTTCACAGAAGTTAACAGGGTGACTGTCATTGCAGAATTTACAGACGTATGATGATGTGCTTGCCAATGTGACTTTTTCTCCTGCTTTTTCTCCGATTTCTTCTCACTCTGCTGAGTTTGTTTTGGATTAGATGCTTTGGTTTTGTTCTGATTTATCATCTTGAGTGTTTGGCTGCGTGTGATCAAGAATTGTAAAAATTCTTCCAGAGTGGGCATCTGCTCATGGGTACGATCTTTAATGTGATCTTGCCAATCTCGTTGTTCACTGTAATCTAGTTGTTTTTTTGCTAGGTGAATGATGGGTGTGCCCCAGTGCTCTGTGGGTTGTTGAAATGTCTTTAAAGCACCCAGATGACTCTGGATATGCATAACCAGCTTCTTTATTGATTCTGACTTGTCTTCTTTGCTTATGGATGGAAAATTGAACAGCTCCTCAAGGTGAGTGTCAATGATAATTCGTTCGTTGTCATAGGTCTGGACCAGCAGCCTCCAGGCCGTCTCATAACTGTTCTCAGTGATGTATATATTTTGAACAATTTCGCGAGCCTCGCCACTCAGTTGACCGATAAGATAATGATGTTTTTGAATAGCAGGAATGTTCGGATTATCGTGAATTATTGAACGAAATGAATTGTGAAAAAGTAGCCACTGGGTGTAATTACCACCGAAAATTGGGATTTTTATTTCAGGTAATTTGGGTTTATGTCTGTACTCAGTCTCCACTCGTTGAAAAGGCTGACCCTGGGGATGAATTGGAGCAGCCGCAGCGGCAGCAGCTCTCAGCCGATGCTCTAGGGCTTCTTTCTCTCTATTGAGAATATCCTGCATTGTTGCAGCCATGATGTAGTAACGATTCTCTCCAGCTTCGCGTTCCTTGTTCTCATCCTCAATGAATGCTCGAGCTTCCGTTGCATCTTTAGGTGCTAGGCTCTCGATTTGTGATTGAATTTTCTCAAATGTGGTGAAATATTCTTCAATTTTTTTTAACCTGACCTGAATGATTGCTGCTGATGCCGTGGGATGATCGTTGAGGTACCTTTCTGTTCTCGTAAAATGTGATTTGATGGTGCCTCGAGTGGCCTTCAGTTCTCGAAGGTCAGCCATGGCAATGTGTGATTACTTTCACTACAACAAACTTATGGTTTTTGATTGAAGCTCCACGTTGTGACAGGAAAATATGTTCTGGTTCGATGTTGTTTCTAAATTGCGGATATAAATATACGTGTGTAATACGTATTGTAACTACATGCCTGCCTCACGTCGTTCGTCAGTTCGTCAGCTGTGCGTTGCGTGTAGCGTTCGAACACCGGCGTGCTCATTTATTGGGATGATTTGGAGTGTGAATGTATATCACTGTGATACGTTTGAGTGTGGTGGAGCGTCGTTCGCTCGGCGCGTTGAATGAATGTGTGTGTGAGTATCACTTCGATACTTTGGATGTATGGGCGCGTCTCCTCGAGACACGTACAAATGAACTGATTGAATTTTCACTCACTTAATTAATGAGTGATGTCGATTTTATGAATGTTTTGTTTTTATGTGTAGTTTATGACGAAAAACTGTTCAAACTGTCGCAGCGCGTTTTTGTACATTGTGCGTTTTTATTTTCGGCCGGGGGTTTCCTCGATGCTCGTAGCGTCGTTTACACACGTGAACAAAACTGATGAATTTTGTAACTTGCACTATGTTTTACATGATTTCTCAGCCTCAGGTGGTCGTAGGGCGAGCTGGTGGACGCCAATGTTTTGGGGGGGTATGAAATTATGACACAATTACTTGATTAAATGTTATTTTTATTTATTTTAATGAGATTGAAAAATCTTTCGGGACTGGCTTGTAACCATCTTGAAAGGGTACTAAAGCGCCCTCGTGGCCTCGTCTACAATTATCATCAATAATACTAAACAGCCGATTGACCACAAACTCAAGTAGAATGTTTCTATTCATATCAACTTCCCTTTGGAATTTATTTCAGATTCGCGTCTTAAATTTCCAAGTTATTTTTCTACGAAGAATGTCCAAAAATTTCGTGAGATGGCATATGGCCGTCACATGACAAATGGCACTTATGACAAATTTCATCACATAACTAATATGAAAATATAATCTTTTGTCTCAATTCAATTAAAGAATCATTCAATTTATTCAATTAGAAAAACTGTTAATTGACATGATTTCCGAATTATTTTTACTTTCACTACGCAAAAGGTACTAAAATTCAGTATCCATTTTTTGCAGTGTACGAGACCAACTGCATTTCCGAACGCGCTTTAATTGCGAATACAATCCTTTGCATTAGAGACATTTATTATTAGCCAAATTTAGATGATTAAAAATCTGTAAATTGCAGCTATGAGTCAGCTCTAACTTGCGTTTACTTACAATTTCAATCAAAAGTTTGGGGACCAGATGGAAGTGTACATCATAGAAAGATTGGCACTGGATGTTCTGAGCGTTTTCACTTGTTTATTAAGGTAATGACTTGTAAAATTACGCAATAGAGTGACCATGCTGTTGTTATAAAGGAAAACAAATTCAGTGAAGGTAAGCAGGGCCATGAAGGTTTCGATTATCACGTAACTGGAACGAATTAGTTGGATTCGACTCTAATTCAAATGTGTACTTTGCAATCTCGACTGGCGACTATAATTGCAACATATTGTGTAAAATAAATTAAAGGTTGAATTCTTAACTACTGAAAATTTTTTGCAATTTCAATAATAATTTTTGATCATCGGATTCTGCACGGAACATATAAAATAGTAAAAATTACTGTTATATCCGGTACAAAAATGTTATATCCGGAGAAAGACACACAACACAATTAATAAAATGGTTGGGNAATTAGGAAGTGGAATGGCCTCTGGCCAACGCGAGAAATAATCCGTGATTACCAGCACAAAACGATTACCATTAGAGGTTTTGGGTAGTGGGCCTAATACNGGACTTATTAAATATCAGAGACAAGCCAAGAGACAGACGTGTATTGACCAAGATATCTCAGAATAATAATAGAGCATCGGACTTGACTTCAAGATGATCGTCCTTTTGGTTCTGTTCCATGACATCCTTCAGACTGGATATAATTAAAAGGGTTCGAAGGGGGACACGTAACACTACTTCCCTTCGTGAAAAGATTGCCGCCCCGGCAATCACACCAGGAACTATCTNTTGTTGAAGTGTGCACCAAGAGGGGACGAATGAGAAATTTCGGGATTTCTTTAGTGGAAGCACGAGGAACAACAGTTTGATACACGATTTTATTTTTATCGGGAGATTCCCAACGANTCCCTTCGTGAAAAGATTGCCGCCCCGGCAATCACACCAGGAACTATCTGAGGTATTACAACTTCAGTTGTAGAACTTGTAAATTAAAAGTCAAGATAAACGTAGGAAGTTGTAAGATCTCACATAGGGAGGGTCCTAGTCTGTTTCCAACTAAAACCTCCCAGAAATCATCATTGGAAACAGTCCCGAAATGTTTGACTCAATATAAACATAATTCTCAAAAGAGTGTCATTACAATTTCTGATTGGTCAGATTGTGTCTTCAAAGCATAATGTGTTTAAAGCATATTCATTAATGTGGTGAGAATGANAAAGAAGCCATTTGAGAGCTGCATGATCAGTTCTGATCAGAAATTTTCTCCCTGGCAAATAGTGGCTGAAGTGTTCAACCGATGAGACTACTGCCAAAAGTTCTNTAGAAAACTCAAAACAAAAAATTCCTTTGATTAGAAAATTGTTCACAAAGAATTTCATTTAAACCAACGTTCAAAAGCACTACTTTCAACTAATTACTTTGCGCATAAGCATTTTTACAAGTAACTACTTCAAGCAACTACCACAATTCAACCAAGCCAACAAATCAAGGGTCGTAATTTTCAAAAGCTTTTGAAATTATTACTCATTTCTTTTTACCATACGTAAAAATTACATTCATTCTATTTCAACACGTACATTCATTCATTTAACCTGAAATAAAGTTTTCAAAGATGGTTAGAATAAATTACAGGTTACAAATAATCAAATAGTCAAGCTTGACACTCGAACAGTCTACCAACAGACTCATTAATTCATCAACCCTTTAA